GCAATTATTAGGGATTAGGGGAGAAATTTCCTTTTCGGACGCCGGAGTTAATTTTGGAAAGTTATTAACGTTCATGTTATTGCTTTCCAAAATTACCTTTTCCAGATTAGTGGGCTTCGCCGGAGCCGAAATTACCTTTTCCGGAGGAGTTGGCTTCACCGGAGCCGGAATTTGGGGTCTAGGGTTCCGGCTAAGACTTCTACCTCTGTTTTTGGTTTTTGGAGGGGGGAGAACAACCAGCTCAGGATTCAGATTCGACTTGCAGGAAGCATAACTGTGAACCAAAGATCCACATCCTTCGCATCGACTAGGTTTCCAGTCGTAAATAACTTTGAGCATGATATCTTCTCCTTCTATGTTGATAGGAATTTCATCCGGGAGAGACGATTCTTTAGAGATAGCAACACAGACTCTAGCATAGGTTAATCTAGCTCTTTTGGCAGTAAGAGAATCAACAGATAAGGGATTACCAATATAGCTGGCTATAGTCGAAATTCCCTTTGGGGTCCAAAGGGCTAAGGGGAGATCAACAATTTTTATCCAAAGGGGAATCTCAGAAAGTTCATCCCTCTTCGGTTGGAATTTAGGGGACCATTTTTGGAGAATAAATGATTTCCCTAACATGAACCAAGGTCCTCCAGACCAAACAAGATCAAAATCTTCTTGGTTAGAAAATTTGATCAGGAAAAAACCATCCGCTAACGAGAGAAGGGAAAACGAACCTTTCAGTATCCAAACCTTTTTCATGGCTGCGAGAAGTCGCTCGTAATACGGCCTTGGCCCTAGAGAATAACCGATCAAAGAAAAAGACCATACCGAGATGCCTTCGGAGAGATCTTCTCCTTTAAAAAAGAGTTTTTGACTTGGCCGAACAAAAGAAACCGGGAAATCTTCCTTAGATGCAGAAGGATTTGCCAGGTTCTTTGCGAAGGAACCGTTCTGAGACGCTGGAATCGGACCCAGGATCGATGTGTTTGGAAGAGGGGGGAATTCGTTGGTCTCCATCAGGGAGAGGATTAACCTATCCCGATCGGAGGAACGATTCTAATAATTAATGCAAA